GGCGAGTGGACAGGAAACCGCGGCCCGTCCCTGCAGCGGGTGGCCGCTGCGGAATAAACGGCCGGTGACGCACAGACAACAGAGACGAACCTCCGAACACGCGCCCGGGGAAGGAGGCCAGTCGAAAAGACCGCAGGTGCGCCTCGCTCACGCTGGCAGGGAAGCTGAGACAGGAAGTGGCTGCAACCACAGGGCTGCGTGCGGTCAGGGGTGTGGTGGGGAGTGAGGCCGATGGGGACGGGGTTTCCTTTTGGGGTGAAAAATATTGTCAGATGAGATTGCGGAGGTGATGGTGTTACAGAACAGACCCAGGGGGTGGTGAATGATATACTATTATTGAAAGGACCCCCTTTTCCTGCAGGGGTTCCCCCCGTACGAGGTTCGCTTTGCCCACCACCAGAGGAAAGACATCTCTCAATGCCAGAGATTGGTGAAAAGGAAAGGAGTTATTTATTTAAAAGTTATACAGATTAGCCCTGGCTGGTGTAGCTCAGTGGATTGAGCACAGGCCTGCGAACCAGAGGATCTCGGTTCCGTTCCCAGTCAGGGCACATACTTGGGTTGCAGGCCAGTTCCCTGCAGGGGATGCACGAAAGGCAACCGTACATGGATGTTTCTCTCCCTCTCTCCTTCCCCTCTAAAGATAAATAAATAAATATTAAAAAAAAAGAAAAGTTATACAGACTTAGGGTAGTGACTTAATGTCTTTATTAAAATACTAAAGTATTTAGTATTTTAAATACTAAATACTTTAGAATAGCCACAGTCCTTTAGAACACCCACAGATGCACGCAGTCCTTTACCCAGTCTGGGCACCGTATCTCAGGAAAAGAAGTAGAAGTTCATGATTTGAGCTCCCGGCACCATCATCTGTGCCGCCACCACGATCGCCAGTTAATCCAAAGCCATGTGGCACCTTCTCACGGCCCAGCAGCAAGAGTCCTTTCACCCTTTTTCTTCCAGGCAAAGTCTCTCCTGCTGCCTAAGCCACATGGCAAAAGGGAGCACCCCAGAGCCATGTGGTCCTCTCACTCAAGGTGCGTGGTCCGAACTCCACCAAAGCCGTGCAGTCCTGACTTGGTGTGGCTGCCGAGTCTGGGTTTTAAATGCCAGCACCAATCTTCCTCTGCAGCCCCATCTCCGACTCCTCCCACAACCACTTACACCTGCCGACTTTCCTGTATTCTTCCAGCTTTCCTGGGTTGCCATAGTAAGTCCGGGCAGGCATGGCCCCATGGCGTGGAGCCAATCATCTCCAAGCTCTCATGCAGGCGCTGTAACCAGAGGGAGCTGCCTCCCAGTTACATCTTGGGTGGAAGTCACTTCTGTTCCCCTGGCACATAGCATGGCCACAGCTATTTAACATATCCATGAAACCAGTTAAAGGCTGTAGATATGTTAAATGACCATGCCAGAGGTTAGCTGCAAAGCTATTGCTGTACAAAATAGCTCTCAGTGGCCCTGCTCCATGTGTCCCTTCCCCCAGCTCAGCCTGGTGGGGGTGAGGACATCCTATAAATATATTTCTCTAATATTCCCTGGACAACTTGAGTTCTGGACCCCATTACGAATCCCTATTTGGGGGCCCTCTCTTGGCTGCGCCTTGTTACTGCGGCACAGTTCTGTGAATGTGCTGAAACCCATCTAGTTGTCCGCTGTTAACGGATGGATTGCACGGCGTTTGTTACACTGTAAGAAAGTTGTTTAAAAAAACAGTCCTGGGCTTTCCTCTCCACCCGCCCTCAGGAAGTCTCGGTCACCCGTGGAGTTCAGTCTGGTCCCCTCTGAGTGGGGTTGGGAAGACCAGATGAGATGACAGATGGGAAGCAATTTTTCACTTGAGTTTTGTATCTTGTCTTCAAAGTTACTGCAGAATGACAGGCAGGACCGTGGTACTGAGGTCACATGGCAGACGCGGGTGTTGAGGAGATTCAGCCCCGGTGCTGGGGCGAGGGCCACATGGGCACGTTTCTCCAAACTCACGGAGCTGTGCCTGCAAGTGTGAATGTCACTGTTCGCCAGCCAACACATTTACAAACACTTGAGAAGAAATCCCTTCCTCCCCTTTCTCGGGTCCTGGCCCTCCATTTCCTCGGGGAGGCACCTCGTCCCCAGCTCCGCCTACACTGCACCCTGGTGGGGAAACCCTGAGTCGAGCTCTTTTGCGCACAGTGTAGGAGAACCAGCTACAGACACGGATCCCCCAACGAAGATTCTCAGAGAGGAGCCCACACTAGCCCCTGCTCATGCGCCCACCGGAGTCCAAGTCTGGATGTGCGCGATGCGGCCAGGCATCCACCGGCAGCGGCCAAGAAGGTATTGAGGCCGCTGCTGTTACCCAGTGGCGAGCGAGCTTTGTGCGCTGCGATGGACCCTGTTCCCACGTGGGAGCAGGGTCTGCAGGACAGACCTCTGGAAGTCAGCTCTGGGCCGAGGGAAACGTGTGTTTGGAATGAGGACACTGTCTCTGTGCCCCCCTGCAGCTGGCAGCACCACTCGGTCTGTGCCCATCTGACAGTTTTATTTTTCCCATCTGATTAGTTTAAATGTGCACTTTTCCACATGCCTGAGTGCCCTTTTACACTTCCTTCTCCATTCATAACCTCTGCCCATGTGTTTTTCTTTTTGGGTATGTGTCCTATTGATTTGCAAGTGCTCTTTATATATGGGGGCTCTTTGCTCAGGTTGGAAATTGGATATGTTGTTTCTTTGAAACTCGTGTCCTCACCTGTGGCCCTCCCTGCCTTGCAGCACGGGTGACCGTACTCCCACTCAGGCCATCCTTAGAGCAGAGAGGGGCAGGCTGCAGAGTGCAGACACCGGTGAGTCCCCATTTTTTTTAGACCTGAGCTGGTCACTCCTCTCACCGGTCAGGAGGCACTGAGGTGAGTTTGCCGGGCTGCAACCCTGAGCGCCTGGCCCCTGTGTGTCAAACACTTGGCCAGGGAATCCGAGGGTTCCCAGGGGTGCGGGTCCATTGGAGAAGGTGGTGGTCCCACAGCCCCAGGCCCGGAGGGCCCTCCCTGCCTGCCTTGCCTCTCCCAGAGGGCACTGGGGCGGGTCCTGAGGCGGGGGTTGCCGACCCAGCTCTTATGCAGCTGGAGGCCAGGTCTCCTGAGAAGCCCCAGACGCTACTCACACTCACTTCTGCTACTCACACTCACTTCTGCGGGTTGCAGGGGTGAACTGACTGACTGAGGCAGGCAGCAAGGGGGGGGTAGGTGTGGACTGGGCCGTACTGATGAGGGGGGCATATGGGGCAGGATGCCAGGGCAGCTGGCTGTACCAGCTACAGGAAACGGCTGCTCCGCGGCCTGGGAGAGCCCAGGAGGCAGCTCTGGGCCACCGGCCTAGGCGACAGAGACCCCAGGCCAGCCTCTACCCCCACACCGCAGGGACTGAAGGACAGGACAGCCCACAGGCAGTGCTTCATCCTTGACTGTCATCTTCTGGTCCTAGAGTCCCGGAAAAGTGGTGGCATCTCTTTCTCCCCACCCCCACCCCCGGCCCCCTTTGGGTCGTTCGCTGTCTCGTGGGGGCGTGTCCTGAGCTGGGAGGGAGTTTGTGGGCTGCGGGGAGGCCGCTGGACTGGACCAAACTGGAGGCCTGCGTGTCGCCCTTGCCCAAGACAGCCTTCGGCCCCGCTGACCCCAGCCTCACGCACCACTCGCCCGCCTGTCCCAGGGCTCGGCCCCCAGCACCCAGGGGACCCCCCCCACCCGCCAGCAGCCTCTGCCCTGTGGGAGGAGATGGCGACACCCGGACTTGGCGCAAGGGGCGTGTCCCGAGGGTCCCAGGCGGCTCCCGCTGGGTCCGGCCCGCAGCTCCGAGCCCCGCGGCTCGGGAGGCAGCGCGCAGGCTGTGCCGGGCGAGGGCGCTCGTGAGCCTGGTTTGAAATTTTCACCCGACGCGCCCGCGGCAGGCTGGGCAGGGCCGGGGTCCAGAGCGACACCCCAGGCCCGGTGTGTGGCTGCTCCAGGAGGGCCGCGGGCGGCAAGCGGGCTGCTGATTTAGAACCTAGTTTAGAGGTCGATGGAGCAATTTCGGACGCTCAGGGGTTCAGGAGGCGAATGAAGGGGAACGGGGGTCGGTGGGAGGGAAATCCGCTGAACCGAACCTCCCGGGAGTCGGAGGGAGCCTGGCCGACCGCAGCCCCTGCCTTCCTCCAGCCCAGCCCGGGGTGGGCAATGGGTGGGCAGGTCCCCGCGGCCCGACCACCCTCTCGCCCGTACCCCTGCGTGTGCGCGCCCCCGCGGGCTGGAGATTTGCACTCGCGGACGCGCGCGCTCATAGGGTCCGGTTTAGGGTCAAGTTTCACGCGGTTCTCAGGCCTCTGTGTACAGGGCGAGGTCCACGGGCGAGTGCACACGCCCCCCCCCCAGGCGCCCACCTCCCGTCGCCACCACGGGTCCAGACTCCCAGACCTTCGGGGGCTTTTGCGCCGGGTGGTGGGCTGGGCCGGGGGCAGGGGGCGCTCGAGGCCGCCTCTGGGCTCCCGACGCCGCCGCCACCGCGCGCTCCAACTTCCCTTCCCGTGTCACCCCTGCGGGCGGCCCCCCCCCCCGCCGCACCCGGGTCCACCGACGTGCGGGAGCCACACGGCCGCCCGCTACTCCGGCCGCCCCCGCCCCTCCTCCACCCGCCTTGCTGCGCTTCTCCACGGCACCTTCCAGCGGGCTCAGGAGAATGTGCTACAACCTCGGCGCTGCCGCCGCCGCGCTCGCGCTCGAGCCGGAGCCCGAGCCGCCCGGCCCCTCGGCGCCGCCGCCCCGCCTGCCCGTTCGGCCCCGGACTCAGAGCGCGCGGTCCCCGCCGCCGCCCCGCGCTCGGCCCGCGCTTGACGCAGTGAGCGCCGCAGCCGGGCTCCAGCCGCTCCGCTCCGGCCCCGGCGCAGGCCGAGCCCAGCCCGGCGGGCTCGGGGAGGGGCGGGCAGGGCGCGAGGGGGAGGAGATCTGTCTGGAGCCTGCGAGCCCGGAGGAGGAAGAGGAGGAGGAAGGAGGGGAAGCCGCGGCGCTGTGGGGTCCTGAGCACGCCGGCTCCGCCGGCCGCAGCCGCGCCTCCAGCCCCCGGCCCGCACCTCGGCCCAGGTAGGAAGGGGCTTCAGGGGCAGGGTCTGTGGGGGCCCGGGTCCCGGTGCCGCAGCAGCGCGGCCCGCGCGGCCCCGCCCAGGGGGGAGGCGGGGAGGGAAGATTCCTGCCCGGCAGCCGCGGGGGCGGGCGCGGGTCCCCCGCGGTTCTCCGAGCCCGGCCGCCCCAGCCCCCGCGCCCTTCCCCGAGCGGCAGCGCCGAGGCCGCGTCTCTCCCGCCCGTGGGGCTTTGTCTGCGGCTCGTGGGGTCCGCGATCCGGACTCCGCCCCTACCCCCCGGTTCCCAGGCCGGTGCCCTCGAAGTTAGCGGTCGCCGAGCTCCATCCGGACAAACTTCCCTCCCCTGCGCCGAGGCTCGCAGGACGGGGACTCCGCGCCCCTCGGGCTTGGAGGCGCCGCGGGGACCCCGAAACTTTCCTGAGCTCAGAGCGAAAGGCGGGCTGAGGGGGGCTGGGGCTCACGGTGGGTGTTGTGGCGCCCCAAGCTGGTCCGGGGACCCCCCCATCTGGACCCTGTCTCGTAGTTGAGGGCACGCAGGGAGTGGACCGTGGGGACCCGGCCTTCGCACCTCCCGCGTGGATGGGGCCGAGTGCCTCCCCGCGCCGCCACCGGACTCCTTGGAGGGGTGGTAACAGGACACCCCGGGCCCAGTCCGGTCGCTCCGCCGCCTAGGAGCTCGCGGGATCGACCCGCTTTCGGGGATCAACGGGCACCCACGACCCGAGCCTCAGCCGGGCAGGAAGCCGCGCCACTGGGCTGAGCTGCAGGCTGGGGTGCGACCCCTGGCCGCGAGCTGGCTCCTCCCCCGCCCGCCACCAAGGTCCCCACCCTGCTGCCCTTCCTTCCAAGCCCCTTGTCCTCCTCCCCCGCCTTCTCTCTGGTCTTGGGGTGTCGTCCCCCAACTTTTTCCCTTTTCAAATTGCATGGTGTGGCCTGTGGTCGCCCATTAGTCGGGAGCCGGGCCGGGCCGGCAAGCGTCCGGCACAGTCCCCGCTAGCCCTCCTCCTGGACGGGGCGGGGTCCCTGGGGCCCCGGGGGCTGGGTGGCTCTTCTCGCTTCCAACGCACCGCCCTCCTCCGTCGCCACCTCTTCTGGGGGGCAGTGGAGAGTGGGGTGCTCCTCGGGCAGCCTAGGGGGTGTGGAGAGCAGAGGGGACCTGCGAGCTCCTGAGAGGGCTTGGGGTGCAGCCTCAGTGGTGCAGGCTGGGAGCAGGCGACGTCCTGGTGGCTCCCTTTCCAGCGTGGCCTTCCTGCACCCCGAAACCCCGGGAGGACTGAGTGCCTCCTGCACCCCCCCAAACTTGAGTGGATGGGAGGATTGGGGGTGGTGGGGGTCACGGGGTACTTACTGTATTCCCCTGGTCTGCTGAGCCCAGCGCCAAGCAGCGGGGGGCCTGAACACCCCGGCTGGCGCTGGGGGCCCCCCTCTGTCCACTCGGAGGCAGCCTCGGGGCTCTGGAGAGGCCCCCCCGCAGCCTCAGTCTCTGTGAGTGAGGGCTATGTCCATCCTCTCCCGGGTCTGGGGGGCGGCAGGGCCCGGGAAGCACAGTGTGGGGTCCCTGACAGATGTCCTCACTGCTGGCGGAGGCCGTGTCTCGGTCACAGAATTAATGACTTACATGCTGTCCGCCAGTGTGTGCGGCCCCGGGGGAGGAGCGACCTGGCCGGCGGGGACAGGTCGAAGCTGGAGAGTGGGGCCTCTGCCCTGGGAGGTGGGGAAGTGCCGAGGACCCCATGGCTAGTCCTGCACCAGTCCCTCGTGTGCTGAACTGTGAGCTGGCTCCCTAGTTCCTGCGTTTGGGGACTTCCACCCACCCTTCCATTTGACCTCTGAGCTTCTCAGAAGACCCTTGACCTTGAGCATCCACAGATCTGTGAGGCCGTGCTGGTCAAGGGCCTGGGCCCTGCGTGTACACGCAGGCAGGGACTTGGCACTTGTGCCGGGGGTGTCACGAGAGGTCGGGATGTGACTCAGGGCGGACACCTCGCACGGCCCCTGAGATGCCCGTCCAACATCAGGCCGGCACTTCCTGAGCCAGAGCTGCTCGGCTAGTGGGTCTGGGGAGCCGGCCAGCAGCAGGGAGTCGGCACCTCTGGTGGGTTTGCCTGGAAAAGGCTGCCGGGCCCACGTTCCCTTCTGTGTGCCCACTGCACAGAGCCCGCGGGGCCAGGGGCTGGGCGGCTGTCTTCTGGGACCTCTATCTGGACAGTGACCAGGGGCCCCTTGGGCCTGGGAGGACCAGCTTCCCTCCGTGGGAGGTGCAGCTGTTGGGGGGTGTTTAGACCACAGGGAGCATGGGTCAGCCCTCACTGGCTCTGTCCCCTGTGCCCAGGGCTGGCATTTCTGAGGCTTGTAGTACCCATCTGGTGACAGATAAGGGCCTGCCCTTGGCCTGCACCTGCTGGGCCAGGGTCAGGGCAGGGGGCAGTGCAAGGAGATTCCCCCCCCCCCCGGGGGGGCGACTGCCTTTCTCCGTGTGCCTCACCCTACTCTGGGCTGCTGATGCGCGCCCTCAGAACCTGCGGGCGGCCCTGGGGCACACAGGCTTCCGTCCCGGCCCCCGGTATGGCTCTGCACCGCCCTCAGAGAAGCCCCGCGGGTCAGGCAGGGGCGCTGCTCAGGGCCCGCTCCCCCAGCCCGGCCGGCCCTCCGCGCCCAGCCCCTGTAGGGCCGCTCGCGCTGTGGCGGCTCATTCACGGCCTTCTCCGTCCCCCACACTATAGGATTTATCTTGATTTGCTGCCTTTGAATTGAGTCAACTCTTTTGTATGCTCGGTGAATTGCCCAGCTGCTGGCGGGAGCGGAGAGCGTGCCGGGGGTACTGAGGCCGGCAACCAGAGGCGGGCGGGGGACAGGAAGCGAGGAGGGGCGCGCGCGTCGCGGGGCCGGGCCCCGCAGCTTGGGGACCCAGCCGCCCATCCCCCGGGGCTGGCCGAGGGCACTGCCGGGGCCAGGAGTCCGGACCGGAGGACGCTCCGTCCTGGGGGTGGAGGCTGCCTTTTGGGCGAGCAGAGTGGCGTGGGGCGAGCCTCGGGGCCTCTTTTGACTCAGTTTACTCGCCAATGAGCAGAAGGGGTTTCCGCAGACGCAGGTTGCCAGGGTCAAACTAAACGGGCAGAGTGTGTGAGAGCCCCCCAGAGGCCTCCCAGAGGTTGGGGCGAATGAAGGAAAGAAGGGGGCCAGGGTTGGGGGGGCTCCCGGCCCTGCCAGTGCCCCGCCCTCGGCGGTCCCAGCCCCTAGGTCCCCGCCTTCTCGCGCCCGGGCCGGGCCGACGGGACCCGAGAACGACTTGGCTGTGCTTCCTGTGAGGGGGTCGCGGGTGGCTCAGCCAGGCCACAGCTGTTGCTCGCTCCCTCACCCTGAGCACCGCCCCCGCCGCGCCCCTGCCGGGAGGGTGGGAGGGCCGGGTGGGACCGCGAGGAAACCCCCCAGCCCTGCCCCCTGGCCCCTGGGCTCCGGAGCCGCGGAGGGAGGAAGCGAGGCGGCGAGGAGGCCGGACGCGCGGAGGGGGCTCGGCAGGGAGGGGACGAGCCTCGGAGCCGGACGCCAGCGGGAGGAGCGAGGGGGAGGGAGCGGAGCGCGGAGGGAGGGCGCGCGAGAACAGGGCCCCCCCTGCCCGGGAGGCGAGGGGCGGGGCCGCGCGCGGATCGATGGGCGAAGCTGGGGAGGAATTTCAATCCCCGGAGCGAAGTTAGAGCTTGAAGGACGGCGGCGGCGGCGGGCGCAGCACCAGGACCGCGGCGGTCAGGTAAGCGTGGAGCCCGCGGAGCCCGCGTCGCCCGCGTCCGAGAGCCAGCAGAGCCGGGACGCGGGACTCCTGCCACTCGCGGGGCGGCGCGGCCGACCCCCACCGCGCGCCCCTGCTCTCTCCCTGCGCCCCCGGCCCTGGCGCGCCCCGGGCCCGGCGTGCCCTCGGAGCGCAGCGGGCAAAGTTGCAGGAACTTGGAGACAGTGGAGCGGGCGCTAGGTTCAGCCCGGCAGAGCAGGGGTCTGGGTCGGGGTCCCCGACCTCCCCGGTCGCTGTTGCACCGCGCACTCCTGCTCTCTCGCGGGGACCTGCCTCTTCCTTCGCCCCCCAGCCCCGCCGTCCGCACCCGGCCCGACGCCCCAGAACTGCTGCTCCCTGCGCTGCACCCCCGCGGCCCCTGCCCTTCCTCGCCGTGGTCCCTGACCCGCATCCGAGCCCACATCACCGCCCTGACTGCCCCCCCCCCCGTCCCCACCCCCGCGCACAGTGTTCCTGCGCCGCCTCACTCAGCACGGGCAGCAGGGACGGTCCAGCCACACACACGGGAGGGGCTGCGTTCCGTGGTGGGGAAATCAGACCCCCCGCTGGGACCCGAGTCAGCGTCTTTCCTTGGGGGCAGGGGCGCTGAGGCTCCTTGCCCCGACCTGCCTGGAAAGATGGTCTCTCCTGTGAAAAGTCGCAGGTCACCTGCTTGCGGCTTGGAGTGGGGCCCTTGCAGGTGTTCCCCTTTCAACACAGACCCACAGCCTCATCAGAATCACTCTGACAGGCATCATGGTGTGACCTTGGGGGCAGGTAACCTGTCAGAGCCTCAGCTTCTGCATCTGAGAAGTGGGGGCAGTGTGGCACCGTGCACCCTGTGGAAGGGCTCCCAGGGAAGGATCAGTGCGGAGAGGGCCCTGGAATTCTCCTGGGCAGGCGTGGGGGCTCCAGCTGGTTTTGCAGCCCTCCAGCACAGCCTCAGGCACGCATGGGCAGGGCCCAAGACCCCAGAGGCCCTTTTGAAGGGGGGGCTAGGGGAGCAGGGAAAGGCAGGAACCCCAGCTCTGGAGGAAGCCGGAACCAGGGGCTTGGAAGCCACACTCTCCTCACTCCCACCAGCAGGGCCCCTGGCCTCTCTGACCCCAGCCCTGGCAACTGCCACCTGACAGCGGTGCCCCATTGCAGGCGCCTCCCACCTCATCAGAAGAGGAGACACCCCTGAGACAGAGGGGCACACTCCAGGGTCCCCCCCCACGGGGGTGCCCACCTGC